TTAGAAAGTCGAGTCTTGCTGGAATTCCCAGTTGGAGAGAAGACAAAATTTGCCTTGTTTTGCTGCGAGGGGGGAGGGGGGCAGGGGTGGTGAATCAGAAAATAAAACAAAGCTGTACTTCTGACAGGCTTTTCAATTCACACTACGGTGTTATGGGCGTCCTTGACAAAATGATAATCCAGTGCCTGGCCACTCAAAACCCTTATTACTCAGACCCTGCTAACAGAATTCTCACACCACAGTGGTTTGATTTTCCCTTCCCTCTCTGTTTGGGGGTGGGGGATGTCTGCAAGGTTTTCTTCCCTCTGTTTTCTGCCACCCTTCATCAGGCTAACTCACAAGGGCCCTTCAGAGCTCTGTTTGGGAATCACTTCCAGGGACAGCTCTGATCTCCCTCACAGGCTGCCGTTTAACACTGTTTTCCCACCATAATCCTCTCACCGGGTCCCATTTGCCATACACTGGCCCTCACTGAAACAGAAACTTACAAACTGCATTTACTAAACAGCACTGGCTCCCTGCTTGGGCCCATGAGGTAACCAAGTGAAGGAGGAAAGCCTAGCATCTCTGTCTTCATTTTGTCTCTGTTTTTCTCACTCTCTGGCTACTGAAATCATGTAACCGTACAGTCTGCAATTCCAGGAAGGGCAGTGGAACAAACCCTCCATCCCATGTTGACTACTAGCTGTGAAACCAGAGCTATACTCTGGAACAGAAGTGAACACCCACTAGGAACCAGAATGGTCCCTTCCCAGAAGGACAACTAAGACAGGATGACAGTGGGTTGCCTTTCTGTCTTAGTGACAGTGTCCTTTGCTTTACAGAAGCTTCTCAGTCTCAGGAGGTCCCATTTATTCAATGAGGCCCTTAATATTTGTGCTGCTGGGGTTATACGTAGGAAGTGGTCTCCTGTGCCCTACTCCTGTTGTAGAGTACTTCCCACTTTCTCTTCTATCAGGTTCAGTGTGTTCGGACTGATATTGAGGTCTTTAATCCACTTGGACTTGAGTTTTGTGCATGGTGATAGATATGGATCTATTTTCATTCTTCTACAGATTGACATCCAGTTTTGCCAGCACAATTTGTTGAAGATGCTCTCTTTTTTGAGACAATGGGGATGTTCTATCGGGAACTCACCAAGGCCAGCTGGCCTGGGTCTGAAAAAGTCTAGGATAAAACCGGTCTCGCTGAACATAGCGGACAATGAGGACTACTGAGAACTCAAGAACAATGGCAATGGGTTTCTGATCCTATTGCACGTATTGGCTTTGTGGGAGCCTAGGCAGTTTGGATGCTCACCTTACTAGACCTGGAGGGAGGTGGGTGGTCCTTGGACTTCCCACAGGGCAGGGAACCCTGATTGCTCTTTGGGCTGACGAGGGAGGGGGACTTGATTGGGGAAGGGGGAGAAAAATGGGAGGCGGCGGTGGGGGATGAGACAGTAATCGTTAATAAATAAACAAATAGCCGGGCGATGGTGGCGCACGCCTTTAATCCCAGCACTCGGGAGACAGAGGCAGGCAGATCTCTGTGCGTTCAAGGCCAGCCTGGTCTACAGAGCTAGTTCCAGGACAGGCTCCAAAGCCACAGAGAAACCTTGTCTCGAAAAACCAAAAACTAAATAAATAAATAAATAAATAAATAAATAAATAAATAAATAAATACAGGATGACAGAGACAAATACACTTCTCAGACCAGCTAATGGGACCGGAGCTGAGATAAGAAAGGGTCAATGGTGGTCAAGACCACACCTTGACTAGAGCTGCTTAATTATGCACACCACTGATATGGGATTTCCCTCTGTGTGCTGTGATTACCATTGGTTAATAAAATACCTCTTTGGGCCTATAGCAGAGCTATAGGGGAACAGAGCTAGGTGGGGAAAACTAAACTGAATGCTGGGAGAAAGAAGGGCAGAGTCAGAGAGAAGCCATGTAGCCCTACCAGAGATGGATGCCCGGAACTTTAGCAGGTAATCCACAGCCATGTGGCAACACACAGATTAACAGAAACGGGTTAAACTAAGATGTAAGAGTTAGCCAATAAGAAGCTAGAGCTAATGGGCCAAGCAGTGTTTTAAGTAATATAGTTTCTGTGATTGTTTTGGTTCTGGGCAGCTGGGACAAACAAGCAGCTTAATACAACATACCACATGCCTTTTGCCCAGTTCTTCCTCTATTGAATCAATAGTTTTTGGCAGAAGACACATGAAATCACTGGACCCTGCATCCGGTCCTTTCCCAGTGTAGCCAACTGAAACAAACTTTCTTCTGCTTTCACCATCATCTGGAGACAGACAGCTGAGCCTAGCCTGCTAAAGATACCAGCACACAGGAGTTTCTGCCCTGAAAATTCACACGAGATTGCTAGTATAAGATCCATGGCCCCATCCAATAGTGTTATACCACACTAAGAACAAGAGAAGTGAAATAAAATGTCAACTTTCCAAATGTATCCTTATCTAGACATAGCATTTAGTGGCATTGGAACTGATATATACAAATCCATTTGCTCAGTTAATCTTACTAATTTTGTTATGCTATTAATTCAGCAACAATTATGTCCTAGTTTGTCTCCACTACTGTGATAAAAAGACCATGACCAAAACAACTTAGGGAGGAAAGGGTTTATTTCACTTTCTTTTTTTGTTGTTGTTGCTGTTTTTGTTTTTTGTATTTTTGCTTTTCAAAATAGGGTTTCTCAGTATCTTTGGAGCCCGTCCTGGAACTAGCTCTTGCATACCAGGCCGGCCTCGAACTCACAGAGATCCGCCTTGCCTCTGCCTCCAGAGTGCTGGTATTAAAGGCGTGTGCCACCACCGCCCGGCTCATTTCACTTTTAACTCCAGATCACAGTCCACCATGGAGGAAAGTCAGAGAGGACTCAAGACAGGAACCTGGAACCAGAAACTGAAGCAGAGGTCATGGAAGAATGCTACTCACAGGCTTGCTCCTCACAACTCACTCAACTTACTGTTTACACAACCAGGATCACCTGCCCAGTGGTGGTACCACCTGCTACATCAATCATTAGTGGGCAGACTGCCATACAGGCTTGGCTACAGGCCAGTCGAATTCAGGCACTTTCTCAGTTTAGGTTCCCTCTTCCCAGATGACTCAAGCCTAAGTCAAGTTGACAAAACCCTAACCACCACTACTTATTACATAATAAGATATTAATTATCTACAGAGAGGAAGATAAATTAATATCACTAGCAGAAACCAGGCAAAGTCCCCTAAGAATAACTCCCACTATTTAAGATCTAAGCTACATGGAAATGTTTACAAATTACAATTGGCCAATTAGTTTTATAGTTGTTTTCTTGGGGGTGCGTATTTGGGGGAAGGTGGCAATTGTGCCAAAGCACAGGTGTGGAGGGAGGCCAGAGCTTGCCTGCCGGTCTCCCCTTCCTCTCTGTAGGTAGTCCTGGGCATGGAAATCAGGTTGGCCAAGTTTAGGACTACTTTACCTGCTGAGCCATCTTGCCAACCCCCGATCACTTCTTTTGCTTCAGCATTTAAAATACAGTTAAAAAAAATTCCCAAAATTCTAGCATAAACTGACCTCAACAATATTTCATCGTATGACACCATGGTTCTCTCTCCTGTCCCAAAGTTCAGCTCAAATTTCTTTTTTAAATTTTACATAATAAACTCTCCCCTAATTTACCAATTTCCCATCCTGTGGAGACAAATCTAAGAGCAAATGTTCCTTTTCCAATAGCAATGTCACCTCCCTTGATGTTCACCATGTATCTGTATGTATGTGTGCATTTACCATGTGAGTTTTAGCCTGTATAAACATTTTTAAAAAGAAAAACTAAAGTAACACTAGGCTTTCTTTGCAAAAGTATCTTATTGGACAGCTGATTCCCTATGGCATTACTGTCATGACTTTTAAAAGAAATACAAACCAGTTTTTCAAGCTGAAAACAATGAATACGAGCAAGCCAATTGGGAAATTATAATGTAGCTCTTAGTAACACTGAACACATTTTCCCAGGGACTGTGAAGAGATAACAGATGATTTTGAAAAGCTGTGTAAAATCACTATTTGCCCCACATCAAGGAACGACCTCACAAACTCATTTCTACTTCAAATATTTTCTTATAATATTAGGTCGTTGTCCCAAAAGATTAGCTGTCATGTCTTTCCTGTTAAGTTGTTCAAATGTTCTTTAATCAACAAAATAGAAAACCTGAAAAGTAACATGATGTGTTTTGCACAAAGACAACAGGCAACCACATCCCAAAAGTCTATAAAACGTTGAGAAGTGAACAATGAATTACAAAACACCATAGAACCACAAATACGTCACAAATAATTAGGTATTTTTTTCAAGGGTCAAAAAGAATTGAAGAAACAAAGGGGGTGGAGCCGAACCACCACTTTCTCAACCTCTCTGGTACGACCTTTGTTCTAGTTTTTTAAATCTGCCACGCGAAAAGCACAAGGTTCCCGTGTTCTGCTCACTTTTTGTGAAAACACTTTTTCTCAACCCTTTTGCAAAAAGTACTGCCGATTACGATATGAAGACTTGCCGTTTTCCCAGCACAGCGCTTCTTGCTCATTGGAACTCCAGAATAATTTAGCAAGAATTTCTCTGACCCCTCCCCTAGCCCCCAAAGGACTTTGTCAATGACATGAAAGAAACCCAATCCACGTAACTGGAGAGACAAGTTTCGCAAGATCAGGACTTCTGAAACTCGCTGTCCCCGCACCCCTTCCTCCTATCCTCACCTATGCTTCTCATCCATAGCACAGGCCAGTTTTCAAGCCACGTGAGAAACTTTATTAAAAACACTGCAAGGGGCAGAGCAGACAAGGCACCTGACTCCGGCCGCCAACTCAGGATGGTTTCGACGGGACAAGCCCCAGGGAGTTAAGAAAGGTTTCCTTCGTGCCCACAAGGCTGCAGGTCCAATGCTCGCAGGCTCTGCACGAGTTTGCGCGCTGCAGAAGCCGGCTCGCGGCGGGAGGGCCGCGGTGGTCCACTCACCTGCCCATTCTCCGAGCCGCGGGCCGACGCTGGCCTCGTTGCCCACGCACCACACCTGGAAGGCCCTGAAGAGGGAGTACGAGGCGCGCAGGGCCAGGTAGGCCACGGTGCTCGCGCCCACCCAGTACAGGAAGCCGGCCGCCGGGAGAGTGCGCTCCATGGCTCGCGACTAGGCCTCACTACCACCGTGAATGGGGAAGAAAAAAAAAAAAAACGAATGAATGGAGCGAGGAGGCGGTCCCGGCCGTGACGCCGAGGACGCCACTGACAGACGCCCTCTTGGGACCCAAGGCCCGCCCACGGCGCCAATCCATGTCGCCATTGGTGGCTTCATCGTCCTTTGAGCGTACTGTGTCTACCATTGGTTAGACTCCGTTTAGTGGCCCCGCCCATACGCCCCGCCTTCGTGCTCAGCGCCCCATTTTCTATTAAGAGAGTGGATCGCTCACATGCCACTCAACATTTGGCCCCGCCCACAAGCTCACATCGCGCCACCGAAGCTCAGGGATCTCTCATTGGCAGAGGCGGCCCTCACGACTGCGCGTTGATTGGCCGATGAGACCTAACCTCGTATTTCGGGAAGGAATGAAACCGGAAGGAAAAAATTGTAGTGGAAGCGGCGCGGAGCGGCGCTTGCGTTTACGCCTTTGCATTAAACACTTTCAGACTCCTGTTAATCCCATGAACTTCTCGGATGAAGGGTTGGGGTTCCCCGTCTGCGCCGCACTCTTTCGCTCCAAATTCTAAATGCCTTCCTTAGCTCCCACATTGAACTTTAGACTCGTGGTTCCCAGTAATTCGGAATTCCAGACTACTACATAGTAGCGTTAACAGTTGTAATATGAATGGAAATACAAGAACACAGCTTGTGGAACAATTCTCCTTGAAAATTTTTGGTTTTTGAGTGGACCTTGAAGAACCAGAATCACATTATTTCTGGTTTTGTGGGAGGATGTGGAGTGAGGAGAGTGGGTGTGTTTGTCCGACTTCGCAGTAGCAAAGATATTCTAAAGAGACATTCATGTTCTTTAACTATCAAGACTATTAAAACAATGGACTCAGAAGAGGAACCTATCCACACCTCCCCGGCGTTTTATGCTGTGGTAAAAAGAAAGCCTAAAACCTGGGCAAACTCTTCTCCCAGAACACCTTACAGGAGAGGCAATGAGGGGTCAGTGGTGGTGGCTGACACACTTGGGCTGGGACTGCTTAGATATGCGTAACTCTAGCCTTCTTCTTAAACCATAACCGCTCTTCAGAACCTGAAACACAGTCTTGGTGGTCGGTGCCAGTTCTCTTTTGTACTTCTTCCTAATGTGGCCACAGTGAATCTCTCTCTCTCTCTCTCTCTCTCTCTCTCTCTCTCTCTCTCTCTCTCTCCCCCTCCCTCCCTCCCTCCCTCCCTGCTCTTCACTATTAATTCAACTACATTAATTGACTATTCAAGGACAGGTGGTATATGCCTTTATATATGAGAGTGTACAGCCAGAGGGTGACATGGGTGTAATTTTTATTTTTGGTTTTATTCTGGCTTGGAGGCAGTCTCTACGAAGCCCTGGTTGTCCTGGTGATAACTAAGTAGGCCAAGCTGATCTCCAACTCAGATATCTGCCTGCCCACACCTCCTGAGTGCTGGAATTTAAGGTGTGTGCCACAATGTTTGCCTGACTTAGGGTGTCTTCACCTATTTCCACCTTTTTTTTGGGGGGGGGAGAACAGGGTCTCACAGAACCTGGTGCTCATCTATTTAGAAAAGCTATGTTGTCACTGCCTCCCCAGTGTTGAATCACCACACCCGGCTTGCACATGGTGCTAGGGATCAAAACCCAGGTCCTTACGCTTGAGCAGAAAGCATTTTACCTACTGAGCCATCTCCCTTGCCCATGAAAGGAAGTTTTAAGGGGACACAAAAGTGTCCAGTAGAGCATGGAAGTACTTCAGCAAAATTCCCCGGGGTGGGAGTGGGGATGCACACGTGTAAACAAATGGAATCTCTTTTCAGGGTCATCTGCCTTCTGCTCATATGTCCAGGTGCCCATTCAACGTCTCTGCTCAAGCTTAGTATATTTATTGATTGTTAGAGGATGTCAAGTATCCCAATCTGGTCTGGAATTGGCTATGTAGTGGAGGATAGCCTTGGACTCCCGATCCTCCCGCCTCTACCTCCTAAGGATTGGGATTACAGGTGTGTGACACCACGTCTGGTTTTTCAACTCAGTGCTGGGGATTGAACCCAGGGCTAATTAAGCACTATATCAACTGAGCTACAGGCCAACTCAAACTTAATATATTTAAAAGTAGAACTCCACAGGTGCCCTCGAATACTGCTTGTGGTGGTTGAATGGGAGTGCCCCCTCCTAGGTTCCTGTGTTTGAATGCTTGGCCTCCAGCTGGGAAGGATTAAGGAGGTGTGGCCTTGATGAAGGAGATTCAATCTTACTGGAGGAGGTGTGTCATCGAGGGTCAACTTTGAGGTTTCAAAAATCCGTGTAAATCCAATTTAGCTTGCTCTGCCTCTTGCTTGTGGATCGGAGGTAAGCTCTGAGCTGCTTCTCCAGAGACACGTCTGCCTGCCTGCTGCCAGGCTCCCTGCTGTGTTGTTCATGGACTTGCCTTCTGAAACTGTGAGCAAGCACCCAATTAACTGCTTCCTTTTATAAGTCGCCCTGGCCATAGTGTCTCTTCACAGCAATAGAACAGTGACTAAGACACATCTTTACCTTTTCTATCTCCTTAACTGGACCACTACTCATGACTGTTCTGGGATGCAAAACCGAGGGGTCAACCTTCCTTTCTATTAAATCCTCATATCCACTTCTTCAAATGTGTCCACTCAATGACTAAAATATAACTTGGGAGATTTCTTAGCTCTGCTACTGCCAACTAATGCAAATCTCAAGTGTTTTCAACCTATATGGCAAGAGTTTCATAATTAGTCTTTCTGAAGCTGTCTTGGCAAACAGATATTGTTGCTGTAGAATTTGTTTTACACACACACACACACACACACATATATGAAGCTGGACATAGTGGTACATGACTTTGATCCCATCATTCCAGAGGCAGAGATAGGTAGATTTCTGTAACTTCAAGACCAGCCTTGTTTACATAGCTAAATGAGTTTCAGGCCAGCCAAGTCTACTTAGTAATTAATAACTTGTCAGGGAAAAGAGAAAAAGAGAGAAAAGAATCAGACACGTCAAATTGGTCTTCAGAATAACTTATTTAAAAGATTTGAAGTTGAGAATAATCTTTAATGTAAAATGTGATTTAACAACATTGCACTGCAGTCATACACACAGATTTCCACTGAAGTTCATTGGCAGCTTTTCTACATTTTGATACAAATATCTACAAATTCACATCCAGTCTTCACAGCAAATTGGGAACAGTTCATTGTATAAAAGAAAATTTCATAATTAGGTAATGTCACAGATGTCAGAAGTTTTTAACAATAACATCATAGCTAAACCTTTGAGACAAGTGCCAGACCCTTCCTAACCTCTTCATTTCATCATTGTTCAACACATTACGCTTGTTTTGTTTTTTGGCATGCTCTCATGTAGCCCAGGTTGGCCCCCAAACTCCCTGCACTTGAGCTTCTGGTTCCCTCCTCCCTCTGGTTCCGAGTGCTTGAATTGTAGGTGTGTACAACAGAGCCATTTCCTCCATGCAGGGAAGCACACTTTGTACTTCCTAGGCAAGTGTTCTGTCAGCTGAGCTACAACCCCAGCTGGACACATTGAGCTTTGATTCCATTCTACATCCAGCTGTCAAATCTTGGGTAGAAAAAAATGTTCTATGAATAACAAACTAATTTAAAATAAATAGAATCTTTAGCATTAAAAACTAATTAGAAGTTACTATTTGATTTCCTTAAGTGATAACATTACCATAATAAAAGAATATTGGGTTTTCATGTTAAGTGTTTTCCTGTGCATAACTGCATCCAAACACAATAGCCTCATTCTTCTTCCAAAGAAACCAGCTTTTCAGTAGACCTTCTACTGCAAGAACCCCTAAGTGCCATGGTCCTAGCTCTAGAAACAGGCCATCGTGAGAGCTTGTTTGAAAAACCAGCCAGGATGGGCAGCTGTTCATATACCTTTGACCTCCTTTATCAGGGAAACTCAGCTTCTTCCAAAAGCAAAGAAGGAGAAAAGGACATTAGCCTGGCCAGCTAGATCAAGCGAATCTACCCTGGCACTCAGCGGGTGATGGAGTCACAACCAGGTCGCCCTGCCAACAAGTCGTTCTGCACTTAAAAACTGCATTTCTACACACACAGCACTTGAGCTCACACTCATGGTCACTTGCACAAACACAGTTTTCAAATAAAACTGAGATGGGGCCTGGGGAGGTGACCTCGTGGTTAAGAGCACTGACTTTTCTTGCAGAGGACCCAGGTTCAGTTCCTAGCATCCATAAGGCACCTCACAACTGTGTGTAACTCTAGTTCAAAGGGATCTGACATCCTCAGACATACATGCAAGCAAAACACCAATGCACATGAAATAAAAATAAAATAAATAAAAATTTCCTTTAAAAAAATAGAAACTAAGATTGGCCAGTTTGATACAGATTTAAGTATACAGCTTTAAGTTTAGTGAGATGGCTCAGAGGAGAAATGTGCTTGGCACCAGGCCTGATGACCTGACTTAGATCCCTGAGGCCCACATGGCAGAGAGAACCAACTCCCTCAGGCAGCCCTCTGACCTACACAAACATGCCACGGGACACACATGCACACCCACCAGGAATGAGAGCAATCAATAAGTAAAAGTACAGCTTCAGTGCTCCCCTACATTTCAATTCAAAGGCTCACACAGACTTATAAACACCAGGAAAGTGTGCCAAGCCATTTAGTACCTTCAGGGGTTGGTGGCTAACACATTAGCCTTGCCCCAGTAACTGCTTTAGTTCATTGTATCCCCTGACCGAGTAATCACTCCAGCTATCTTAGCCAGGATACTTTCGCCTTTAAAAAACAATCAGAGCCATAGTTAAGCCAGCTCCAACTAGGTAAAGGGAAAGCTAATTGGGATGTTTTATCAATGTCTTGCTACAAGACAGAAACCTGCAAATATTAGGACAGTTCCACAAGCAAACACAAAGGAAAGAATACAGAGGAATGCCTTCATGCATTTTCTTTATCTGTATGCTTATGTTTGTAATGGACTCAGCATTTACTAATATCATTCATGGATTTTCCTCTCCCAAAGAATCGTGTTAATTTGATTTCGATTGCTTTTTTCTCTATCTTTATTTTCTTGGTAAATATATTTGATGTATACAAAAAGACTACACAAAATACAAAGTAGTTATAAAAGAGCACGGTAATGTTTGCCCAGCATTGGGAGGTTGCAACAGTGTTGCACCTGGGCTGCCAGCTCCCAGGAGCACAGGCCTCAAAAGCAATCCACGGAGTCAGCACATACAAAGACTTTTTTATCTGAGGGGGTTAGGGAAAGAGACCCTCACATTCTTTCTTGGTTTCCTTCTTTATTCCTTATTCTTCTGTGTTCTTTCTATTGTATACTTTTTTCTACAGCTTATATACCCCAACAAAGTTTTTCAGGCAATATAGGAATTCCAATGTGGTTACATTCTGTAAATGATTACAATGAATACAAAACAAACAGTAAAAAAAAAACATGTTTTCCATATCCCTTACATCATTAAACATTTTATGTATTACAGGTGAAAAAAAAATTATCCCAAGAGCCCATGTACATTGATACCCAAGCACACCCATTCACAGTTATAAGTTAACTTTGTGGGCAACAAGGTATTCTTCTCAGTCAGGTCTTTTACTGGCAGGCTGCATTTTGTAGTTACAAAGAAAGGATCTATTCCTTTATTGCTTTCCTTTAAAGGTAGTATTATAAAGAATCTTAAAGGAATCACAAACCTAAACTTTTATATATAAAAAGAATCAGTCAGCTCTACTTTAAATCTTTAGGGTGCATACCCACGCATCATTAGTTTTTTTATATCAGGAGATTAAGAGCAAAAATGGGTACAAAAAATTAAACATCATTTCTGGTCTTCAACCAATCCTAGCAAGAAAAGCTTGTCAAATAACGATAATTGGCTGCTTTGTTCTTGCTTCCTGATCTTAACGCATTCTGCACTCAACTCTTGTGTCTTTCTAAAACTTTAGATTATCTTCTTGAGTTTTTCACCTTGAAGTTATTTGACAAGAACATCTAGTATAATCTTAAGTTATTTTCGAATCTTTGTTTCAGCACTCCAAAACCTGTGAACACATCTCCCAACATCAAGGTTAAAAGAATGTAAGCTAGCTGGCAGTTGTTTTTCTTAATCGTTAACCTAAACTCATGTGTTCTAGTGTGTGACACTTCCTTGTTTATTTCTTGAACCATCAACCCTCTTAACTTAAAACTTATTATTATAAATCAGACAGTACCGCTGAGGAAAGAATCATCTTCATAATAATCCACAGGCAAGAATGCCCAGCAGAATGGAATTTTTCCATGAGATAAGCACACTATATTACAGGCAGTGGGAATCTCCCCACACCCATTCACATCATAGCAGATACCAGAGAAAGATAGCAGTAGCAAACATGTAAAGATACAGTAGAAGTGAAAGACATTCTGGGGTCTGTGGTCTCAGGGACTTGCTATCCAACATTCACCCACCAGGGAGTTGCCTCCTGGTGAGCTGACGCCTTGAACTTCAAAGACACCTGCTGCTCCTCTGCCGTGGCCACCAGCAATCCAAAGTTCGAGGACAGTTTGAGCTAGATAGCCGGACTCTGTCTCAAACAGATAAAAAAAAAAAAAAAAGTGATTATAAAGTCAAAATGTATAGAAAATGGCAAACTAACCACCCAAGAACTGCCCTAAACACTTTTATCACAAATATATATACATATATTTAGATATCAAGACATATAGATACTGTTTAATTTGTCTTATTTTTTAAGCCCTGCTTCATAAGCACCATGCAGTGGATGCTGGGGCATCAGTTTAATCTTCCTTATAGAACTTAGACATTTACTCTCCTATTAGCCAGAGCGCTGGCTGCTGAAGGCACATGGCTGTGTCCCTCTTTGGGCGTTACCCTTAGTCAGGGGAGCCACTTCACCTCTTCTGCAATGGGTACTTGCACTCTGTGACTAGTGGGTACAGATATACCAAAGAGTGGACCATTTACTTTATGTATGAACATCTCGGAAAAGTCTTCCCAGCCTCAGCACTCCTGGGACATTGCCTGAGACTTCTATTATAAATGGTTTCAGTTCAACTTAACCCTCTTCCCTCACTCTTCCAGATGCTGTCCCTAGAGTACTCCTAATAGACCCTCAGCAGACAAACCTCAACCTCAGCATTGTTCCCCCAAAACCCATCATAGGCTGCTGTGTGTCTCCTCAGAAGAACTAGTCACCCTCCAACCTGTAAAAGACACACCTATTTGGCAATAGGGTCTTTGTGAATATAAAGATGTTATGATGAATTTATACTGGGTGGGGATGACTTTAAATCCAATCAGCCCTCGTAGAGAAAGTCAGATGTGAAATGTGAAGCAATACAGAGAGGTAGAGAGAAAAAATCCAAGTGCTGATAGAAGGTGAGTACAGCAATGTAGACTCAAGCCAAGGGAGGCTAAAGATTGCTGATAACTACAAAAGCTAGGGAGAGGCAAAGAAACCTCCACCGGCCCCTCAGATACCGAGCAACACTGCCATCGCCCCCTGGACTTTGGATAGTTGGATTCAGAACTGTTATATTCTCTCTCTCTCTCGTATTTGCATGTGTATCTGTGTGTAGAAGTCAAAGGTCATTATTAAGTGGTTTCTGCCATTGTTCTTCAGCTTAGTCTTTGAGACTGGGTCTCTGACGTTCACACATTTGGATATATAGCTGGCTAATTATCTCCAGCGATCTGTCTGACTGAACCAGTTTCTCATGCTTGTACAGCAATCACTGACTCATCTCCCTGGCCCAAGAAATGTCTACTCCCTAAAGTTATATCTTTAGAGAGATGTGTGCCCTTCTCTTGCCTAACTGACTATTGAACAAAGGTCCACGGAACTATTGACCAATGAAATAATGGTCACCAAGAAATTGGAGTCATCCCTGGAATATCAGCTAGAAAGAATCGGCTGAAGTGTAAGGCCAATCAGAAGGGAATTTGTCTCCTAGGACAACTTGCCAACCTTGCAGCAGAGACCAGAGTAGAGACACCGATGGGTCAACACTGGGTAGGACCAAGCTTTGACTTGAACTGCTTAGTTATCCACACTTCTTGCTTTCTATTTAAATCTAACCCTCAGGGCCCCAAAGATGGACTTGGAGGGCCAACTAGACCACTTTGTTCCTCTTCCAAATATGCCCACATCGGATGAATCTTCTGTTTTTCATGGTTGCTTGTCTCTTTAATCAGAGTATTGACCATGGGTTGCTGATCCTTACTTAGTTGTGGATGCCAGGACCCAAGTGCTCTCGTCAGAGCACTCTGGTAACATAGTGGGACTAATCTTTCAAAGTCTAGCCAGAGTAACCCCAACTTGTAGCAAGCCATCATTTGCAGCTGTCCCATGTACCCAACTGCAGCACACAAGCGACTCTTGCAGCAGCTAGAGAAGTCACTGAGAGATCTGATAGGGACAAGGAGGGAGCAGTTAACATAAAACACACAAATAACAATCCCAGAGTCAGATATCATCTGCCTTCCAGTGCCCCTGCTTATAGCCACCTCTACTGCTTTAAGAATAGATAGAGTTCTAAACCCAAATTTGCATTAGTTCTCTGTAGCCTTAGAGACATATGAAATAGTAGTTTGGTGAGACCCTTTCAATAGTGTAGTTGCTTATCAACTACTTATGCTTCTGAAAGTAATCCTAATAAACTCGTGTATTCTGACAACTTAGACTGTTTATATGTTCCCTTCATCTCTCGCTATGTGATCTCTTCCATTTGTGCCCCTGCTGGTTTGTCTCCACTAACATACAGAGGTGGCGGCTTGAGGTCCCTATCATACAAGGTTACCTCATCTAAGAATTCAGAACTGTGGGCCAAATTAAACCTCTTTTCTCTATAAAGCACCCAACCTCGGTCACTTAGTGACAAAATGGACCAAGGCAGCTATGGGTCTCTAACTTTCTCATTATCTGGGGAACTCTCTAGAAATATATAACATGCATTTTTAAAAACCTTTATTCTCTCTAAAATGACTGCGTCTGCTTGGTCATGCACTGATGTTGTTTATATTCCTTTATTTTTAACATTTGAAGAAATTTTTTATGTAAATTTAAATGTTTATTATTATATTATAGTATTATATTGGTTGCCATGTCAGGCAGAATAATTACCCCCCAAATATCTGTGTCTTCACCTCTAACCCCTGCATGTAAGGTGTTGTAATTAGACAATAAGACTTAAGCCCACAAAATAGTCTTAGTTTTGTGGTTATGCAGTTCTATTATGTTATTCAGGTACACCTAATCTAATACTGCAGGTCCTCGGATTGGAGAACCTTTCCTAGTTTGGGTCAGAAAAGATGATGTGGCAGCAAAATGTCCAGAGAGGTGCAAAGCTGCTGGCCTTGGGGATGTAGAAGGGATCCAAGAGCCAAAAAATATGGGAATCCCCCAGCTTTAAGCTCTTAGAGGCAGAGAAATGAACTCTCCAGAAACCCGCAGGAAGAAATGAAGTGCTGACACCTTCGTTTAAGTCGAACGAGACCCATACTGGGTTTCTCTAGACCTGCACTAAACATGTGTGGTGCTGGTCTAAGCCATGCACCTGTGATCGTCTGTAACAACAGTGTTGAATGTCATGTCTGTTTGTGTGTGCTCAAATCATAGGGTCCTGGGGCTGGAGAGATGGCTCAGAGGTTAAGAGCGTTGCCTGCTCTTCCAAAGGTCCTGAGTTCAATTCCCAGCAACCACATGGTGGCTCACAACCATCTGTAATGGAGTCTTCTGGCTTGCAGGCATACACGCAGACAGAATATTGTGTACATAATAAATAATAAAATATTTTAAAAAAATCATAGGGTCCTTTCTGTGAGGTCCCTTAAGTCTATTCTATGACAAGGTTTCTTTTTTCTTTAAAAACATACAATGTTTTAAAAATTCCTTTTGTGTGTATGAGTGTTTTGCACACACATGTGAATGTGAGCCATGTCTGTGCTGGTGCCCTAGGAGGCCAGAAGGGAGTACTGGATCCTCTGAAACCGAAGTGACAGATAAGTGTGATCACCATGTTGTGACTTAGAGTTGATCCCAATGGAAAACCTGCTCATGGCTTTGGCTATGAAGGAAAGAAAAAACAAGAGCACATGGATAATACCTGTTAAATATTTGGAAATAAAACTTTCTAACCACAGGTTCAGCCAGGGAGAAAGTCCTTTTCCCTCACGTTCATGTGTGCTGCATACACACATATATATGCATGTGTGGAGACACATATATATGCACGTGTGGAGATACATATATATGCATGTGTGGAGACACATATATGCATGTGTGGAGACACATATATATGCACGTGTGGAGGCCAGAGGTCTACATCAGGGGTCTCCTTGATTGTTCTCCAGCCTATACGTTGAGGCAGGGTCTCTCACGTGGACCCAGAGCTCACTGATTTAGCTTGTCTAGCCAGCCTGCTTGCTCCAGAGATCCTCTGTCTACACTTCCCACACACTGGGATTCAAGGCTGGCCACAGCACCCACTAAGTAAGTGTTTGTGTGGGTGCTGAGGATCCAAACTCAGGTTCTCACATTTATACAGCTGCTTTAACCACTAAGCCTTCTCCCCAGCCCCTAGAGAAACTGCTTTTTATTAATATCTAAGTAATTCTAGGGAATTGGTTTCTATTTCCAACCTCTATGCTGTCTCAGATGTTGCCTGGGAACTGTCTTACTGGTGACTAGTTCCATACCTCATTGTCCCTCTGTATCATATGTGTATACTGAGACTATGACTCTTTGGGAGAGTCCTATTCCATGGGCTTATTTGGGGCCTGATTTATAGGAAGAGCAAAAGGCCTAATGTCAATGTTTTTTACCTTCTGAATAAGTTCTTCTGAATAATCTACTCATTTATCATTTTGTGAACGGGATATTTTAATCATTTAAATGGCAATGTTCAAAAGAGATTTGCTTTCCAAAGACTATTTCTTATTCATTGAAGAGGGGAGATAAGCTGGCTTTAACATATGAAAAGGCACTGTTTATAGAATTCGAGTTCCCTGCAAACTTATGTGTGTGTGTGTAGGGGGGGTTGTGGACAAATTGACAGGTCACAAGTTTAAATAGTTTGCAAGTACATAGAAAACACAGCTTAGTAGGTGTGCATGCCTGCACAAGCATGAGGAATGAGTTCAAATCCCCAGCACCCATGTAAAAAGCATAAACACCATACACACACACACACACACACACACACACACACACACACAAGAAAATAATAAAAATTTGAAATCTACTAGCAATACTTAGATTGAAATTTTTAGCTGATACTCAAGAACATGTTCACTTGCTTTACTGTTTCTGGTGCTGTTTACATCCCTTCTTGCTGCTCTAGGGTCTGCCAATGTTAGAGAGGCGTCATCAGACTTTGTTCATTCTCAGCCCAGAATCCCTGAACTTCCCAGGCTTTCGTTGTGCACAGGCTGGATGTTCTAACACCATGTGGAAAACTTTCTTTCCCTGCATGCAGGGAAAACGTTCAGTGAGCCTTAGGATCCCAAAGGCCTGCTCAGGAGTAGCTCAGGTAGTTGCTGGGAACATTAACCTGCACACTGGGT